ATGTATTTGCTTTGAAATTATTTAGCTATTACTATCGATTCCTCACATGGATAATTTTCTGTATGCCAGTGAAATCTCCAGAATCGTATGCATTTTGTCAGAATTTATTAGAGCTACTAAGAAATTTGTAGCATTTGCATAAAGTCTTTATTAACACTGGAAAGTAGCCTACAGTAGCTATGTCCAAAAGTGCTGGAATGAAAAATCCTAAAAGATTTTCAAGATGACAGTTGAAAACGTCCCATGAATCTTCTGTTGTTTAAAAGTGCCTCTATTTATTACAAATACAATCTCCAAAATCAATAGTTGAGCATGATAAAACACCTTTTTGCCACTCTCCTTCAGCCACACAGTGCAGTCACTACCAGTGTTCTTGTCCTTACCCAAACGCTGTCAGGAACATTTTGAAGACACTAAAAAAGTTACCTAAGGAACACAAATGTTTAACATTACAAAGAATAACCTACAGGGTCAATCTCATGGCCTCTTGCCATTCATATCATTTCTGTTTATGAACGTATCTTACCATCAAATTGCACAACAATCACCTTACCTTTCCAAATAAAATTACTGTATTTTGCTTTTTGTTCTCTTTCTTCCAAAGTTGTATTTTTCTTAGACCCCTTTTTGCAAAGCAAAGCTACCAGATGTAGTGTTTTATTGCCTTGAAGATGAAGTTCTTACCTTCCTTTACAATTCTGAGCAGTATTTTCTGGTCTTTTATCTTTGAGTATTTTGCATGAAGGAATTAAAGGACTACCATGTGTCCACCTAATTTCCAGTAATGAATAAATAACACTTTTTCTAAGTATCTACATGGGTATTTGCTTCACTGGGGAAAAGGAGGAGAAAAAAACCTTTTCCAGAAATTTTTGGAATACATTTATGTGAAGTTAGTTTCTGCTTTTCTTCTAGTCTTTTAGGTAAATTTTAACCTACGAGAAAACAACTGTTACTACCATATGTTTGGACTCTATCTCATCATGTATCTTTTCCATGATTTAGGCCTGTGCAGTTCATCAAAAAATGAGTCAATATGCTGTTTAATTGGCAATTATTTTTGGCTATTAGTCTTGCATAGTGCCATCCTTCCCCTTGTATCTCCCAAAATACATGCTGTTCTGACCAGTAAATGATCAGCCTCTACTGACTCACTTCAGTGTTTAAATAAAACTTATCAGCACATTCTCCAAATGACTAGGGAAGTCACTTGTGATTCAGCAAATCCGTTCAAAGTATTCTTTGGCTGTTTCATAAAAAAACCCTCAGATTCAAATTCCCTTATCATAGAGGCCTGTAGGAAAGCTCTGATCAGCTTCTGATTCAAGATCTCAACATCCATCAAAACAGAGTGAGAACTTGAAACAGATTCTGCAAAGGCCATGACAAAAAAAATATTGGTTTGTTCTTTGTATTAGGTAGATATCTGATGATATTGACAAAGGACTTTTATAAGAATTTAGCTGGAAAAAAGAGAAATCTGATATAATCTTGTCCCTTTTATCTGCAGGGGCACTGTTAAAATAGTGGGTTTGAATTCTGCATTTACTGATACCACTCCTTTGTAATAATTTCCACAAAATAAAGTTTTAGCATGTTAAGATGAATACCACACTAACAGCTTCCTTACACATATATTCTTAGATGTGCGTGCACAAATACACAGGCTCTCCTAGTAACTTACCATTCAGCTCATTTAAGTCATTCCCCTTCCTCTTAGCACCTATCAAGTGCTATCTCATCTTCATGCTTTTAAGATTCTTGTAATGCATTTTACATTACTTTCAGAGATTTCTCTCCCATTCTTGTGTCACTTGCTCCTTATTACTTCAGCCACTTCCACACATTCTCACCAATGCCGCTGTTTTCAATTAAATGCAAATTCAGTCCGAGTTAAAATTACGAGTCTTCAACATTCCTATAGATCTGACTGTGTGAAAATAGATTAGCCTAGTGAGGGACTTTTCATACTGAGAATTCATATAACTTTCTAGTTTTAGTGATTTCAACAAAATACATTATTTTATGATAATGCATCTGTGGATGTAGGAAGTACTACAACACCCATCAATTTCTTTAAAAGTAACAATCTTCTCTTTTTGGGTCTAGGTAATTCGGAAGAATAAATTTTGTCTAATGCTCTCCAGCACAGAAAGCAAACTCTGCAAAACAATTTCTTGCAAATAGATTAAAACTCTGTAATCTGACAGCAAAGCAAAACCATGGTAATAGTTTCTGAAGTACTCCATACGTTTCTATTTAATGCCTCTTAGTCAGCATGGATCACTAACTAGTTATGGAAAGGACTCTCATGGGGATTTGAATTCCAGGTAAAAGGCAACTCTCTAGCAGAAGCCATTAGTGGGCAGAAAGGTGAGGCTGACTTTGTTATTGATGACTAAAAGAAAAATTACAACAGACAGAAGATTTGGTCTAAAATGAAGTTACTCTATTAGATGGTAGAGCATGGAGGAGACCCCACTCTTTTCAGAACTCTACAGCAAGGACCCTTACTCCACATCACTTGAATTTTATTTTTTAAACTATGTGTTAAAAATAGATTAAAAAAACACTACAAGTTTAACTGCAATGAGGTCTGCAAACCACAAAAGCATCTGCAAAGTGTCTGCTTGTTAAGCACTGTTTCTTCAGTATCTCAGATTGGTTCAGACACAGCGTAAAAAAGCATCCACAAAGAACCAAGCCTTTTTGCATTGAGATCCCCCACTCTTTAGAGGCATGGGTTTATGTAATTGTTCCTAGACATGTGACATACCACAGAAAAAAAAAGAAAATTGAATAAAATGTCTGCAGTGGCTTGATACCATGAGGCTGGAGAGTAGGACAGGGCGACATATTAGAGAATACACTGACAAGCTTCTCACTGCATTGTTGGGAAAACTGATGAATTCAGTCAAATCATCAGCTCGGTTATTATAAAAGACAAATATCCTTCCATTGTGCGAGCAGAGGCAACAGGAAGAAGAAAATGGGAAAAAGCAAGCAAATGAAATCTCATATTGAAACCTCGGTAAAGTAATTGTCTCTTTATCTATGTATACTGAAGAACACAGCTCCACCTGGAGACCAGCCATCTCGGAGAGTTAGATCAACCTGGTCAATAAAGCATGAAGTGGACAGGAACAACGTCTTAAAAGCCATTTCCATGATCAGAGACACTGTTAAATACTCACACAAGAACATTCTAAATCAGGCAAAGCCAAACACTTTTCAAGACAAGCGAAACAAAAACATAGAATCATAGAATCGTTTAGGTTGGAAAAGACCTTTAAGATCATCCAGTCCAACCATTAACCTACACTACCAAGTCCACTCTAAACCAATCAAGGGTAGACTAGATTAAACCATGTCCCAATGTGCCACATCTACCTGTTTTTTGAACACCTCCAGGGATGGGGACTCCACCACCTCTCTGGGCAGCCTGTTCCAATGCTTGACCACCCTTTCCGTAAAGAAATTTTTCCTAATTTCCAACCTAAACCTCCCCTGGTGCAGCTTGAGACCATTTCCTCTCGTCCTATCACTAACTACGTGGGAGAAGAGACCAACACCCACCTCACTACAACCTCCTTTCAGGTAGTTGTAGAGAGCGATAAGGTCTCCCCTCAGCCTCCTCCTCTCCAGGCTAAGCAACCCCAGTTCCCTCAGCCGCTCCTCATAAGGCCTGTGCTCCAGACCCTTCACCAGCTTTGTTGCCCTTCTCTGGACACGCTCCAGCACCTCAATGTCTTTCTTGTAGTGAGGGGCCCAAAACTGGACACAGTATTCCAAGTTTTTGAGGGCAAGTCATTAAAGGATTTTGAGGGCAAGTCATTAAAGGATAATGACTGTACATTTAATGTACACAATTTATTTTTTAAATTTGCAGTTTCTCTTCCTACCAAATGTCTGATTATTTTTCCTCAGTTACATGATATTCTTCAGGACAAAGATGTCCTCTAGGATTGCAAATGGCTTAGCATATAGCAAACACTGTCCCAGATGTACTTCCCAAGGTTTTTGGGTTGTTCCACCCAGGTGCCAAATTGCTCAGTCAAGTAACAATTTCTTATGAAACTTATCAATTATAGAATTCATTCTTTTACTTTCATATAAGCACAAACAACAACAGTGCTATTATGCACATCATTATAATTCATCTTCATCATGCAAAATCCACAGCCTTTTCTAGTTTGTATCTTTTTTTCACCAAATACCTATGTCCAGCAGTCAAAAACATTTAAACAAAGTGTAAAATTTTTAATCAAGAGCAGGAAATTAAGTGCACCTAAAGTATAATTCATTCTTTGCAACATGGTGCACAGCTCTTCCAAAAGAAAACCGTTTACTCACCATCTTACTGTATAGTTTTTGGAGATTTAGTATAAATCCTAGCACTGTTTTTTTCATTTCTAATCTTGAATCATTTTAAGTAATCTTAAAGAAAAGAACACAGATCTAAAATTATTTAATTTAATTTCTGTCTTATCAACTTTTTCTGCTTTACCATAGTGTTAAGGGTGGCTACATTGTAAGTGTTGGTTCATTAAGGTAATTTAGGCACATTATCTCCATCTAACCCAAAAAATCAAATTCACAATTCCTACAAGAAAGATAACTCACACACCTAACAAGAGATGTTCAAAGCTGATGCTTTCTTGAGTCTTCCAGTTTATTCTCTAGGCTTTTATGTTGTTACAGGGATCAATTTACAATTTATGTAGATGTTAGCAGAGTCAAATTAAAATTAATTGTACAAACTTGTAAACTCAAGAGAACGTGTCTGCTGTTTTTCACTTAACATTATCAAGGTAAGGCTTGAAAGCACAAAAGGAAGGGAAACGTAGGGCTTTCTGAACTCTATGTAATGTTTCATTGTCAAACTAGCATTGTTTTAGGAAGGATACTGTCAAAGGCACAAATAGGGATTTTACAGTAATTGAATGATGTCTGTTTTAAAAACTGGATCCCTGTTTATAGGAGAAAAATATTGCTTTTACCTTACTGATAAGTGTGACGACATCACCTTCTCGGATTGTGAGTTCATCATCATTCTGTGCTTCATATGGAAATATCACTTTGCAATACTCCTTGGCTGAAAGGAAAAAGATTCAATGTGATAAATTATCACTTTATAACAACTGCTTATTCAAGGGTGAAAATCTTCCTAAAACTTTCCACAAGTGTCTCTTTCATTTTCTTGCCATTTTTCTCTCTGTATTTTAGACCTTCATAAACAGTATGAAATACTTAAAAATTGCACACTGATGAGCATTCCCGCACACGTCGTCCAGGGAGTTGGCTCTATAGCCCCCAGAACCATTATCACAAATGAAATTGCTCCAGATGGCAACCTGCCACAAACCATTTCCCTTAGGGTGAGCCTGTATCTGACACTTGTTTCAATAGTTCCACTGGTATGGCCTTCCACCAGATCACATAGGAAGCACAAAGGACCCAGTAGGTTGACATAGCTTATCTATCCCCTGGTGTGCAAGAAAGCAGGTACTTCTGCATCTATAAAGATGATAAAATAATAATACATTAATAAATGTAAAGGTTTACAGTTGGATTCAATGATCTGAAAGGTCTTTTCCAACCTAAATGATTCTGATTCTAGAACTAAACCTTCTGTACACCGAGCATAAAAGAAGAGTTTTGAATATTAGTCTAAAGTTTCCTCGTCCCTTTTCCCTTTACTGTCGATAAATAAGGACATCATCTCAATTTTCATCTGGAAAATACAGGAGCCAGCACTCCTACTCAGAAATCATAAAAAGCAGTTGTCATGAAAAGAAGTTACTTACAGCATGGTGCTGTGCAACAGACAAGTGTGTCAATGTGCCTTACAAATAAAAGGGAATATGTATTCCAGCTGTTAAATAATGTATAAAAACATGTGATACTCTAAGACAGCAGGTTTAAAAAGACCAAAGAAACATGCACAGAAATTACCAGACCCTTTGTAGAAGGGCATGTGACTTTGTACAAGTATCCACCTCATTTAAATGCCTCAGTTTTGATAACCTCTATCTCTAGTCAACTGTTACATTTGAAGCAGAGAAACAGGGATATGCAGGCCACAGAAATATGAATTAATCTGAAACAACAGGACCTATTTCTTTATACTTACTATAAAGAGAACCTGTATTATCACACCTGTGGGTATCTGAGGCTCCACCGGGGGGTCACGTCAGCTGCCCAGACGCTAAGTGCCATTTCAGACACTCATGGGTATGTAAGACACCCACATGGTTGGCAGATACGATGCACAACCTATGGAAGAGCCAGGTTGCTCTGGCCTGGCAGCTGGAGGCAAGCCAAAATAACCTGGGGTATCTCAGACAGCCCCAGATGCAGGCTACTGATTTCAGCCCCCAGGGTTGGGCCTGGTACCTGGATTTAGATTCGGGCACCTGATGTTAGAAACCAACCGTGTCGGTGCCTAGGCTTGCACTACAGTCCACAGAAATCAAGTCACTAAAGTGAGTGAAGCCTTGAGAGCCACTCTTCACCCCAAGAGCAGACACCTACATTTGATTAGCTGAATCACACTCTGAACTCCCTGGGCAGCACTGATGGATCTCCACCAGGACCCACTGGAGCCCAGCCACCAAACTCACATGGCTATACCGAAACTTAGGGCTCTGACTCAGAAGCTGCATCCCAGCTGTGAAAGTTTAGCAACAGGAACATCAACCTTAAATAAGCAGCCAACACATGTGCATGTGAAGGGTTGCTGGCTGTAAGCACAATCAGCCTGAAAAATGAAACAGTACTAATGGCGAAGAGGAAAGCTCTTCTCCAGTTCACACACTGCCACTCAGAAATGGCATGAATTTTATGTGGTGCTGGTTCAAGTAAACAAGAATTTCTTAGGCTTCACATATTTATTTTCCTGAACACAAAATTTAAATTTATCCACGATCATTAGCAGTTGGTTTTCTGGCCACACCCTGTTCTGGGTCTGGCTGGGATAGAGTTAATTTTCTTCACAGCAGCCCGTATCATGCTGTATTTTGGATTTGTGACTAAAACAGCATTGCTAACACACCAGTGTTTTGGCTATTGCTGAGCAGTACCTGCACAGCACCAAGGCTTTCTCTTTCCTCTTTTTCCCCACTCTGTCCACCAGTAAAGTAGGCCAGGGGTGGGCAAGAAGCTGGGAAGGGACACAGCTGGGAAAGGTGATGCCAAATGACCAAAGGGATATTCCGTGCCATATAACCTCCTGCTCAGCAATACAAAAGGGTGGGCTTGGGGGGTGTTGGTCTGGGAGGTAGCCACTGCTTGGAGGCTGGCTAGGCATTGGTCTACTTGTGGCAGGTGGTGAATGATTTCTTTGCATTGCCTCTTTTTTCCCTCTTTCTTTCACTTATTAAACTGTCTTCATCCATGAGTTTTCTTGCTTTTGCTCCCCCTATTCTCTCCCCTATGGGGGAGCAAGTGGCTGGGTGGAGCTTAGCTGCTGGCTGGGGTCAACACACCATACCCCCTCTGATGTCTCTGAAGAAACAAGAGTCAGATGAAGACAACAAAGACGATCTTTGAAAAAAATATGAGCAAGGGAAAAATAAGCCTCTTTTGCTGTTCCTGAGAGCAGGGAACACTGTCAAATAAACATTTGGTAACACTGCCAAATGACTGGGCATGTGAGAACCACCACGTCACAATTTAGATTTCAGGCAATGAAAGGGGTGTCTAACTGCTAGTTTACTGCAAAGTGTTTGGATTTCTCTTCATGGACCCAGCTAGGATGTTTCACCTGCTCACTATCTTGTCTTCAACACAGTATAATATTTTATGTAAAAGCTGATGGAAAGTTGACACATACTGACTTAGGTCAGGCAGATGCCGAGCAGCATGTAAGAGAAACATGACATTCAGCACATTTTTACACTTTAGTGTGCACACTCCCTTAAATAACTGTGGGGGAGGTGTGTGTCCTATTCTGAGAGTATCTGCATCCTGAAAAACAGCTTTGCTAAATAAAAGATTCAGAGAATTAGTACAGAGATGATGTAGATAGAATACCGTACTAAAGAAGCTGAGTGCTGCATATTCAGGGAAGTCTCTGGTTACTGGAAATAGGCTTAGCACCTCTTTTTTGGGATACAGAACAGAAGCCAGGCTGGGTTCTTGTAGGCAAACGCCACCTGGACCCAAGAAGGATCATTCCTGAGTATCCATTCTCAAGTATGTAAGTTGTTCCTCCATTCACTGTATGATCTATACACTGTATAATCTCAAGATTAGATGGGAAGCCAAGCACAACGCACAGCTAACCAACAGAAAAGAACAGCCACTATACCACAGTAACTGTTCTGTTTTGAAAGGATGCCAGCGGTGCAGCTCTCGCCCAAGGCATGGATGAATCCCATGTGTTTCAGGTTAAAGAATGGTTTGAACAGCAAGTGTCTCCAGGGGACTCGTGTCTCCTGAGTCCTGTAACAGGCAATCCTCCCTCAGCTCCCCCTTGCTATTTGAAGACTGTAACATCCTTCAAGATGAAGACCCTGACAGACAAGAGTGGAGAGAAGGTTGTGGTTTCATCATCTGAAAAAGTTAGTTGACAATCAGGAAAATAAGTGTTCTCTTTCTTCTTTTTTTTTAAGCTTTTCCTCTAGAAGTATGTGTCAATGTCAATCTCACAGTAAGTGGCTGTCAAAAGCAGCGAGACTTAACCAAAGAACTCATAGTCTTTCACACATAGCAAATGTCTACACATCTTCCCCTTCTAGTTTTGATGTCAAAAACTCTGTTCTCCCATGACCTGTTCACCCTCCCCACCAAGCTCTTACTTGCTCTTACTTTTTTTAAAAAAAATATCCAGATAGCAGAGAAACAAGGAATTAAACTAGAGAAAAATGTCAAAAACCAGATCTTAAGCTCAGCCAAATGCTGATGCAGTTCATGAAGAGCCAGGAGGCAATCTTGTGAGAGGCACAAGAGGGAGCTGGGGGAGGCTCATGGCCACCCCGTGCTCTGAAGGTTGGCAGAAGAACAGAGGGTGAAGGCACAGCCATGAAAAAATTCATGGTTTATGTACGGTAGAAGTCTGGACTCCTTTAGCACAATTCACACTGACATACACTAAATCAATACATTCCTCTGCCTAACAAGGGCCCTGTGGATCACGCTGCAACAGAGCTAAGTCTCAACAACACGGATGGGTTTGGAACAGTGTAAGTGACTGGACAAAGTCAGCTTTCAAACTTCTCCTAAGGGAATGGTAGACCAACGTGATTTAAGTAAGTAAAAGCAAAGCCAACAGGACTCAAAATAATATGAACCTTTAAAATCAGATTAATAAAAGCAGAGAAGAACCTAACAGGTTATGTCATTCTGGTACTAAAATTGTCCTTACTCAGCAGAGCACAATACCGCAAGAGGATGTAGAAGCACTTAATTTTAACAGTTATGTTTAGACAGGAAGGAAGAAAAGATAAAAGGAAATACTAATTTCAGACACAGCTCTGTAGAGACCAACTGGCACTTGCTGAATTTGGGGGTTTTCCAAGTGAAAAAACACCCCCACCAAAAAACTAAAGGTCAAAATAATACATCCTATTACAAGCCTGGTAAGTAGACTTAAGCCAAATTAAAGCTTCAAACTAAGATACCAATATTAAGCATCCCTCAACTGTAGATGATAAATCTCATTTTCACATTTGACATCCAAGGCTGGGTTTATACATCACAGATGGTTCTTCCAGAAGCCTCCCTTTTTTCCTCTGACCTGAAGACATTTTAAAAATATACCTGCTAATAAACCCCCAACAGCAGACATCTTGGAAACAGTAAGGGAGGAGAAAAGATGATATTCATGAGCTTTTCAGTCCTCATTTATTAATTCAACAGTAATTTACTCCGTCACACCACAGAGTCTCTCCCTGCAAACTCACAGCTCCTCCCAAGCAAAGGAGAAGAGCCTGCCATAGGCAACGAGCATTGCTCAGGGAACTGCATGAGCAGATAAACCTTACAGCATATCTTACAACTCAGACAGGCTGGATCTAATGCAGGATGTTTAGCTTCTGGCCTGACATATTCTGAACAGAGAGGGCTTGGGCTATGTATAATCCCATTTGAAAA